AATTTACTGTATTTATTTTCTTTTCACCTGTATCTTCTCAACAAGCATCACTTTTGTTACCCATATTTGACTCCTCTTTCCCTATGTTTCTTTTCAGTTTTGTTTGTGTTTTAACTTTCTGTCTCAACCGTGATAGCCAAATGCACTTGCATTGTTCTGATTGAAAATGTAAGCTCCAATTTTACTTATGCTTGACTTTAGCATTATACAAAAAAATCACCACGATATGATTTTATTTTTGTGCTCAATTATTTCAGTTCTTTGATTTGCGAATTTGCCTCAGGAAGCAAAATTCCTTCTAAAATGAACAATAGCAATTGATTTCCTCTTGTGTTCAATCTAGCTATTCAGGAAAGAAAACACTTTGACATTCTTATGGTGTACAAACTTGTATTTACTGTTTGATTAACATAATTAGTAATAAATCATAAATACTAACTTAATGGGAAAAATATGGATTGTGAATAACAAAAGACAAAATTTTCTTACTACTGTATATAAAGAACTTAATTTAGATCTTTAATCTATTTAAATATGTTAGGGTAAATTAGCGTTTCTCTGAATTCTGCTTATTCTTTTGGGTGAGCTTTTTCAAACTACATAAAGTTAGGAGAAGAGTGTATGCAGAAGTTATTCAAGGTAACAGACAGAAATGCATAATTCTTACAGAAAATAAAAACAGAAGCATGAGTGATATCGACCAAAAGATTCCTTAATCCTTTGGGTTTGGATGTTTGTTTTAATTTCTGTTGCTAGATAGACACAGAGGCTCATGGAATTTTAGAAGTACAGATGACTTTAGGAATGTTTATTATAGGCCTGATAAATTATAATTATTGGCATGAAGGGTTTTAAAGACATTGAAAGTCCAATTAAAATCAGATTACTTCCAAAAGTACAATTGAAAAATGTTTCTTTGGAATTAGGGACATGTTATGAAACAATGTAATAATGTTAAGTTCTCTATCCAAGTTTTATAGCATATTTAAATAATATAAATATATCTGCAATAGAGGACACAGTCACCCGAAATCTGATGTCCGTAAGCAGGGACTGTCTGCCTGCTCCTTCAGTCGATCAAATACATCACAAGAGATGGAGAAAAACCAAAAAACCATGTAATGGAATTTGCTTTAAGACTAGTTGTGGTTTCTAAAGGAGCTTTTCAAGGAGCTAGTGAAAACTAACCAAATCATTTGATATTGTAGCCAGTTCAATCAAAAAATGTTTGGTCAACTCTCTTCCTAATAGTTTTCCTCGTTTTTCAAAATCCCTGCCCACTGGTGCAGCTAAGGTCCGGGTCATTAAATGCTTTATGCTAAGTAGCCCACAGTGAACCTCTTCTCGGGGCAGGACTGTGCGGTCTCCATCAACTTGCCCAACGGTTCAGCAAGACTTAAGCAGCTGCACTTTTTAACCTTCTCTTCTTCAGCCTTGGTGGGAGAGAATGCAGAAAACTGCCTTTTAAAGTCATGTTGAGCTCATTGACTTCCATCAGGGAGGTCAGTGGTTGCCAATGTTACCGCTAGATTAAACCAGAGTTTGGATGGTGTACAAAAATGGAAAGACAGATGCAAAGGACTTTTTAGGGTTTGAAATCTCTAAGATCAAAATATCTTTGTCTTTGATGGTTTATTTGAATACTAGATCTTGATTTATCACGGCACTTGAGAATTGCTTCGCAAAGAAAGAAAACACAGATATTTGGTGCTAGAGATGTCCTATAAGGCACAAGAATACCTAAAATGATCTTTTCTTACTAATTATTAATGTTGATTTGTAAACATTCATAACATTACCATAAGGATGCATCTTTAGTAGTAATGATATATGTTCATATTACCACATTGAAGAACTTATGGATTATTTCATTTGCTAGATTGTAAAACTGTATTGTGGCCTATAAAGAAAAAAGAATACTCTTAACGTTCATAGATCTGAAGGGACAAACAAAGACGGAATGGAAATATGAATGGTCTAAGTTGGACATTGGCAAGTTTTTTCTATAAAGAGCCAGAGAGTGAATAGTTTGAACTTTGCAGGGCATCAGATCCCTGTCTTAGCTTCCTAAGGCAAGAAGTATGAAGCCACAGTGTTGGCAGGGCCACACGCTCCCTGGAGTTCCCGGGAAGAATCTGTTCCACGACTCTCGTCTAGCATCTGATGGCTGCTGGCAGCCCTTGGCATTCCTTGGCTTGTGGCCACATCCCTTCCATCTCTGCCTCCATCCTCATATGGCCTGCTTCCCTGTTTGCCTGTATGTCTCTGTATCCAAATCTCCCTCTCTTGCCTCTCATTGGATTTAGGACTCATCCTAATCCAGTATGACCTCAGCTTAGTTTTATTTTAACTTCAAAGACTATATTTCTAGGTAAAGTCACATTCACAGAACTAGGGATTAAGACTTCAACATGTCTTTTTGGGAGACACATTTTGATTTTCTACAGTCTCTGTTACAACCACTCAATGCTGTTTTTGTTGCTTGAACACTGCCAAGGACAACACATAAAGAAATACACATGCTGTGTTTCAGTAAAACTTATTTACAGAAGCAGGTGATGGGTCACATTTGGCCAGCAGACTAGAATTTAGTCAGTGCCTGGTCTAACTAATCGAAGCAAAGCTGCAGCAGAAAATTAAAAATATGTACACAATTTCACTTGCTTTGATCAGTCCATTATTAAAGTATAAAAATGCATATAGAAGTGTCTATATTGAAACACTTATTTTAAAATCGGTGTCAACTTGGGACAAAATAAAAAATGGAACATTTATAGTGATCAAAATCTCAAAGCTCTGTTCCTAAAAATGCATATATTATAATATTTTCCTGGTCAATAAAGAACTTTTTCATGACCATTTAGTTATTAGGGTCTGCATGGGCTTTCAGCCAATGAGATGAAGACTACTTTGGAATAAGATTTGTGTTGAATTCAGGCATATTTACTCTATTAGAAAGAATGTACTTCTTTAACCCCACTAAAGGTATACTTCACAAGGGTAGGGACATTGTCTATTCAGTGGTATGCCCTTGACACATAGAAGAGACCTTAATACATAATAGTCATTCAATAAATATTTTTCTAAAGTAACTTGTTTGCTAGAATGAGTAAATTTCATTTTGCTCATTGTGTTGTTGTTGTTTCAATCCTATTATATAAAAAATAGTCTCTGTTACCGTACCTTAAAATTATTTATAGTCTTAAACTGAAAGGAAAGCTAGAATAAGAAAAATTCAATTTCTATTGAGAGTTATTAGAAGAATTTGTAAAGAGAATAATGAGCGCAATGAATCAGAAGGGGTCAGTAGATGATATTAGTATTTTTTTTTTTTAAATCAGATGTATGGAATAGAAGAAAAAGGTAAGGAAGTCCAGATACATTTCAACAAACAAGCTAAACATAAGCAGCTGCTCCCCACAGCCCGGACATTTCAACAGCAGGGTGATGCGGGGCCCATGCAGTTTAACCGCTCCTGGCCATATGGATAGGAAGGGGTAGGGTTTGGTGGAAGAGGTAGAAGGAAGAGCAGCCCAAAATTTCCAGACAGAGGCTCTGAACTGCCGTGGTCATTCCAGCTCGCAGAGTTCGGCCATTCTCCTTAGAGCAGGACGGAAGGCAAGAGTTTGACGGTGAAGGGCAGAGGGCTTGGAATGTAGCTCAGCAAGAGTTAGGACTCCTGGCCGCGTGGAGGCGCGCTGAGCCGGCCCGGGAGGAGCGGCTCCAGGTCCCGCGCTGCGCGCGCGCTGGGGGGCGTATGGCGTGCGTGACGACAGCCGGCCGACGGTGAAGAGGATGGAGAGGCGACTCTGCGGGGAGAACGTATCGAACTAGAAGTCACAGCCCTGAGGGGGTAGAGACCCGGAGAAGCCCCGCGGCCACCGGCAATCATTTGTCCCACGTGGATGCTGGAATCGCCCCCATAAAAATGGAATCGAGGGAAAAAGGAGTGGGGTGGGGGGAGGGGGACATTGATGGCTGAAGCCAAGGCCTTGAGGAACCTTCAGATGAGAAGGAAAGACAAGATGAGGAAGGGTAAAGACAAAGGAAGGCTGTTTAAAAGGCCACCAGCTCCGGGCAGCTGTCCCTTCGCTGGCCCCACGCGTGAGGCAGCGCCGCCTTTCTCCCCACGCCTCCCTGGCAAGTCCAGCAACTTCAAGAAAAAGAGGTGCTGGGCGCAGAAACACGACTCGCCTTTCGCGCCTCCTAACGTCTTGCCGCCGTCCGTCCGCTGCAAGAAACTACCCCATCGCCTTAGCCACTTGCACTGCCTTAAATACCGAGATAACGCTGATTAAATTCATTTCCTAGAGAGGAAAATGTATGTTAAAGAGAAGAGTAGGAGAGAAGGACCAGCTTTCCCCACAATTCAGGGCATTTTGGTCCTTGAAATATGAAAACCGAGCCCTTCGAAGGAAAAGTCTGAAAAAAATAATACACTGTTCAGTGCCTTTGACCAAGTGGCTGTTCTGAGAGGCTCCCAATTTGTTCCTGCTCTTTAAAAAAAAAAAAAGGAAAAAAATGAAAATCGTATACGTTTTTGTAAGAAAAAGAAAGGACGTGTATTTATAAATGAAGGAAATGCTACAGGAGAAAACATTTCCGTTGCGGAAAATTTAACAAACAGATGGAGGCCACTTTCAAGCTGGTTTCTGGGGTCCAAACTGCGCTTGAGCTCCAATTTGTTATTTTATTTTATTTTATTTTATTTTATTTTATTTTATTTTATTTTATTTTATTTTATTTTATTTTATTTTATTTTGTATTAATGTGAAAAATCAGACACAGTAGCTCGAACAAGCTCCCAAAACTCTCATTAACGGAAACGCGTCTCGACTCACGGTAATGCAGGACGCTTTGCACTGATTGCACAAGGTCACTCCTTGCGGGTCCCGACCTGCTCGACGCTGCGCGCCGCGCGCCGGTCTCCCGGCCGCGCAGGCTGGGCCGTGGCCGCCGTGCGCGCTGTGCTGACGCCCTGCCCGCTGTTCTCTCCGCAGGGAGGCCTGCGCGAGCCGCACCGTGAGCCGCAGCGCCGGCGCCGCGCGGGACTGATGCGGGCCCCGAGGGCATGAAGTATGGATGTGAAGGAGCGCCGGCCCTACTGCTCGCTGACCAAGAGCAGGCGGGAGAAGGAGCGGCGGCACACCAACTCCTCGGCGGACAACGAGGAGTGCCGGGTGCCCACGCAGAAGTCCTACAGCTCCAGCGAGACCCTGAAAGCCTTCGACCACGATTCCTCCCGGCTGCTCTACGGAAACAGAGTCAAGGACCTGGTGCACCGGGAAGCGGATGAGTACAGCCGGCAAGGTAGGTCCCTGTCTAGGAAAACGAGGCTCGCTCAAAGGGCGCTGACGTGCAGCGCTTACATTTTCTCCCTCGAGATGACAGGGTTATTTTCGTGGGTTGGTGTCCGGCCCTCTGACTCGGGTTTGGAGGCTATAAGTGATCGCCTACTATTCTAGATTAGCGGTGGAAAACCACCGCGGGCACAATGCGCCGAGGCCCAGGTGCCGCAGCCCCACCTTTTATGGGCGAGGCCTGGGACTCTGCAGGGGCCGAGTGCGTGTGCGTGAGCTTGGAACAGGCCTCCAGAGCTTCTCACAGCCTCCCGAGGGTGCTCACAAACATGGTTTTCACCGTTAGAACGGGCGCCGGGAGCGGTTAGAACAGCTGGGGGTGAGGAAGCCGTTCTCCCCGGTAGGAAAGGAGGAATTCTTCCTCGGATCAGCTGGTGCTCCGTCCTGCCCCGCTGCAGGTGTCTGTGTGTTTCTGCAAGAGCCTGCCCGGGAGGGTTCCGCTTGCACTCTGCAGCCCAGCTGGGACTGGAAGGCTCTACCCTAATACTCCCTAGTTTCCCATGGCCGAGTCCACCGTGGTTTGGTCAGTTGCGTGCATTTGTTGAACATTTTTACACTCCATTCTCTGCCTGTGTGTTCCAACCAGTGACTTATGTAAACTTGACTTCACAATCCTAAAATGACTGCTCTCCATGCTTGGAGACAGTGGCTTATTTTAAAATCAGGCCTATGTAGTTGTATTTTGTTTCTGCTAATACAGTCTTGAGTTGTGGGCAAGATTACTGCTAATAAAAATAAAATCCTCTTACACTTGTATTGCAGTCGATTTACAGAGAACTTACCATCCCTTAGCTAATTCAATCAAGAAAAGAAAGAAAATCAATTAAACTTCAAAAATAAATATATTCATCCTTTTCCAATTGTCTTACAGGTAGTGTGACTAACAGTTTGATATTGGACAGGAACAAAGTTAGGATAAAGTAATAATGCAATAAATCATTGAAAAGTTTGAAAAATTTCCCTGGTTCTTGTCTCCTCTGCATTGTGACAATAGTATACACTCACCCAAACCAGTGTATATCAAAGCAAACTCATCTGATTTGCTAAAGAGTGAATTTTTTCCTCCCTCAAAGCATGCCTCATTTACAGGCATCAAATTTTATGAAAAGAGGTAGCAAATCTTAAAATTTTTAATCCAGTTGTTAAGGGAAGATATAGAACAGATAGTTGAGATATGTGATCTTGTTAAATGGACTTTATCTCATTGGGTATCATTCTCAACCCAATTTTTTTCTTTCATGTTATCTACACATCAGGGTACATTTTTCACCAGTTTAAAACACAGTAAGTAGTTGTAGAAATGCATGCAATCTGAACCCAGTGTAAAGTCTTGCTTTGTGTAACAAAAACAACGGCTTAGTGCCCTGTTGGGGAAAAAAACCACTTTGTGGAAGACTGCTAGAATCAAAACAGCACAGGAGGCGTGATGCATTAGGGAGACGCTTCTCCACCCCAAGCAAGCAGGCAAGCTCAGTTTGGCAGAGTGGAGGGTGCTTAAACCGATTAAAACTAGTGAGCTGACCTTTGCACCTCCTAGGCAGCATTAGTCCAGTGCAGAGATGGCTGTGAGCAGCATAGCCATTCCATCTGGGGAAGCCCCAGAACTTAGTTCTGAGGGGACCAGGCAGTACTATTGCTCAGCTCCCTGCAAGCCAAGGATGGGAGAACGGAAGGGGCGGGAAAGACAGCGAGCAAGGCGCCTGGTGGAGGCAGAGTTCCCTTGTCAGAAGCAGCTGAAGGGAGTCCTGAGAAGAGATTTAAGAGCAGATGTCAAAGGCAAAGCCACAGTTCACTGGACGTGTTCATAAGTCAGAATGTATGAAGCGCGTACGTGGAATGTACTGCAATTGACAGCCAGTGCACACCGGTTTCTCACTGCACCCCAGGCAGCGGGCTAACCAGCAGGCATGCGCACTGTCATTTAACCCCCAGAGGCACCTTCTGAGGACGGTCCCAATGGCATCCCCCTGTCACAGGCTGAGACTGCCCAGGCACACGGAGGCCCACGGTCCTGCGGCAGAGTTGGGGCCTCAACCCAGGCCGCCTGCCTCTAGCACTCAGGCTTCTAACCTCAGGGCCGTCGCCAACGCAGAACACAGGCAGCTCAGTGTAATAGTTGCCCTGTGGTTTATCAGGGTCTGCCCCCAGCCAGTTTTGAGGGTGCAGATAGAGAAAAGTGAGGGAAGCGGAGGCATGCTTAGGAAATCAAGTTGATAGGGTGTTGCGGTTGGGTCGATGAGGATGCGGGAGAGGGCGGCGTGACCGTACTCTCTCTCCCCTGCGGTTGGTTCGGGGCTGCTCGCAGCAGGGGCAGCAGAAGGGAAGCGCGCTATCAGATCACGCTTTTCCCGAGCAAGCGGAATAGAAAATCCTCCTAGGCTTTCATTTTCTTTGAACCTGACAAATGTCAGTTTTTCCTCCCTGACTGTTATGCTGTGGGATTAATTATTTAATTGACAAAATGTGCTTCCTGCCACAGCTCCTGACATCATACACATAATAAAAATGAAAGATTAAAAATGTTAATAGTAGCCAAAGACCTTTGAAAGAATTCCAAAGAATCATGCTAATTTAGCCTGTCCATGGAGTTTTACAACAGCCTGCCAACCCTAACTCCACTGATTCTGTGAATGACTCAGGAAAACGCCAGGGCCGCTGCAGGGGGGGAGGAGTAGAGACCCCCGTTAATACCACCACATGAATGCACACCCAGAAATAGAGTGTTTGTATTTTTATTGACCAGTTTTATGGCCTGTTTGGGCAGGATTCCGTTTCTTCCAGAACGTGTAGCTGGACTGGGTCTTGCACGGATCTCTTTCTCTTTAAATCTCTTCATGCGGTATATTGGGTGAGGGAAACAGCTTCTCTTTCGGCAGCGGTGACACTCTCTGTAGGTGTGACGGGGTGAGAGTGCCGGTGGCTTGTTTTGCATCCTTGGATACTATTTTCTTTGATTCATCCTTGAAGAGAATTTATCCTGTCAGGTCTGAGACACATTTCTGATGAGACAGCTGCATAAGATCACCCCACAGCTCTAGAGAAATGGCAAAATAAAACATCTCCCCCCACCCCACTGCACGATTGCGTCGCCTGCAGTGGTTTTGACCAAATGAGAGTGTTTGTCAACTCCAACAAGGAATGGGGGCTGTGAGGATGGATTTTGGAATGAGGTGACATCTAGGAGTAAGAACTCTTTTGTCGCACGGACTGTAAGCCTGGAGATAACACCTCAGAGCCTGTGTCAACCCAAACTGTCTTTGCCAGTTAGTAATGCGGGCTAGGGTTATGAATTTCAGGATTTCAAAATGAAAAGACCCTCATTTATTCTTCATTTGTAGAATGGCAATGGGGAGGAAGGTTATCTGATTTTAAATTTAAAAAACAAAGAGCATGATGTTGCATTTATACACACCTGGAATCAAAATAGAAAATAAATTAGCAAAATAGGGCGGGCGGGCAGGTGGGCAGAGACAGGTGCTCCCTGACTTCCAAGTGAGGCCCTCTCTGGTTCTCCCTGACAGCCGGGTGGGCTGCCGGAAACTCTTCCCCTGCCTTGCAGCTGCTTTGGGATTTGCTTCCTCTTCCTGCTTCTCATGATTGGTGCCCAGCCTCCCCCTGCAGGAGCTTCTGCTTTTCATCTCATGCTGTGGCCGATCCAAGGCCAGTTCAAGTGCATCTTGTAAGAAGGTAGAACCCCAACCCCCGATGCCTCAATGTGGCCCCTCCCCAGTGGGCTGCATGCTGGCTCCAATCCGTCTTCCATACAAGTATTTCAGATGCTAGACCTTCCCCTCACCAAGGATAACTCTCGTCTCTGAAACCAAAGGACATGAGAGGAGCAGTGCGCATTTTCCTGGACATATGTGTCCAGAATTCTGGCATGATGGCAGCCCGAATGATGCCTCGCCCACCCATCCCCCGTCCCACTCCTCGCTGCCCCTGAGCTGAGCAGTGATCAGGGGTGCATATGAGATCTGGAGCTCTACTGGGGTCCTGAAGGACAAAGCTGATGCAGGTCCTTTTTCCCAGATGAGAGCTCTGAAGGGGGAGGAATCACAGGATGACGATTAGAAAGAACGCTGTGGCTTTGTGGTGCCAGAGGGAAGCTGACCTGCCTTCCCCATGGGCCTTGCTGGAGCCGGTGTTGTCTTGCAAGAGCAGCTGGTTTCCTGGGTCCATCGGGAGCTGGAGGAACCTACACAGATGCATTTCCTCCACTCTGATATTGTGACCGTGCCAACTAAGGATCCTAGGGAGTACAAAGGCTCGTCCCTAGAGGCTTGCAGGATTTCCTACAGTTTCTTAGGGCACCAGGAAAGCAACAACCTGCTTCATGGCATCCAGCATTCAGGAATGGGGTAGGATATGAGACAAACAGGCCAAGAAGCACCTATTGGAAATGAGCAATGGAGATCAGAGATGAAAACTTGAGCCAAGATAAAAATTATATGAGCACTTACAGAAATGTACATACCAAAAAGAAAAAAAAAATGCAGCAACAACAAAACAAACTGTAAGGGCTAAGTGCTCCTTACAAGATTCCAGAGAGAAAAAAATAAGTTACTGGTACTTTTCTTGTTACTTACACAAGAAACATAAATGGGACTAATGACTTTCTCATCTACAACAATGGAAGCTAGAAGACAATGGGATAACTTCTACCATGAGGGAAGAACTACAACTCAGGGACATTCTGTAGAGAGAAGGTATAATTCCTCTCTCAGGGTAAATACAGGGTATTTAGGAACACACTGAGACTCAGAGACTGTATCGCCAATGTATCCCATGTAAGCACTCAAGAAGTAATAATGACCGGAGTTAGAATCTCTGCTGTGAAGAGGAATAGAAACAGTGATGGGCAACCAACCTTGCAGTATATATGGGGCGAGGCCAATGTAGGTTTACAGCTGTGAGTACACAAAGCATAGAGTTTATTCTTGTAGCAGTATT